GTCATCATCGTTCATAATTAGTTATATTTAAGCATAAGAGCGAATTTTTGTACCATAGTCCTCTGCCTGGGTGCCTCTGTACCACTCGTGTTTCGGTCAATAAGCAGCTGTGCTTTCACGGCTGTGTTTCCGTTTGAAGGAAGGTATATTGTAGTGACATTATAAGTTATGAACGGATAATATCTTACTCCTAAGGAGCGGCAACACATAATTATGGTATCATGGGCATCACTGTATATTTTGTGACAGTCATGTCTATAAGCGATGGTTCCTTATTCGATGGCCCGCCAACTTGTTTGCCATTTCATGTTGAATAAAAAGATATATAAATAATACTAGCTGACTCGGCAAATGTTGTTTTACCATATACATTATTTCCAGACCTATACATGAAAATTTATCCTACCACAATTATTATATTCGCTTGCCATCTTGCAATCCTATTGCGGTATATAAAAATCGCAATTAAAAACAGGGGTTGATCGTTATAGCGTGAAAATTTGAATTTATATGTATTCTCAATGCTAAATCATAATAAAATAAAAATAAAAAAAATTGTCAAAAAAAATATTTAGAGGTAGATCACCCTTATCATTGAGGGGTATGAAAAGTAGATGTTGGCCGTTTCTCAGACCTACCCAATGTACACACAAAATTTCATAAAAATCGGTAAATCCGTTTCGGAGGAATTTGGTAACAAACACCGCGACACGAGAATTTTATATATTAGATTAAACCTAATATTACACGGTAACAATAAATGTAAGCTAAAATGTTGACATCCAAGTTGTCGCATCATTTTTCCGTACTTAGCAAGCCGCGGGGCGTAGCGTTTTGTTCCCACAACTCAAACTCTGTACGATTTGTAACGATCGTGTTTTATATCATATAGGTTCATTTAGGCAATTATGCGTAAAATTACGTTAGACATTTAATGCGTCAATTCCAATTAAGCGAATATTTAATCTTGAAGTTAGACAACATACTTTTTTATTACTCTAAATTGAATGGAATATTACAGTTATTCATATTTTCATTATAAAGTTATTGTTTTTGAATGGAAAATTAGTACATTGTTATTGGTATATTTTTATCTTCTCGTAATTTTTTACTAATGCTCAAAAACTGACTAGAAGAAAATTTAATTTCCTCGTAGGTTCATTAATAAAACTGAGCAGTGGGACTACGAGAAATAAAGCGACATCTGTCAGAGAAGTTTACCGTTCATTCTTTTACTGTTGTAAATTATAATGTATGTCTTATTTCTATTTTCTGCACAATGTAGATGTCCAAGAAGTATATTTATCTTTATCGAACTATTCCATGTTGACCCATCTCAATAGGTCAATCTATACTTATAGTTCATAGTTGCGTAAATAAGTTAAAGTCGGTTATTATGTAGATACTTACTTATAGATTTATTTCAAACGTTCATAAATAATATTTTGACGCTAAAGCATAAGTTTCTGAAATTTATGGTTGCCATATTTAATTGCAGAGTATAGTGCTATAAAGTTGTAATTTTAATAGATTGATCTTAATAATATAACAGGATTGTCTCAATTATGGCGCTTCATTTGTATTTGACCTTGGGCTGTGTGGGCGTATAGTTTTACCACTTCCTCCTTGCATTTCGCTAAAAAATGCCGTGTGGTATCGGCATAGAACAAGCAATCCCTTTGTTTTCCATAGGTGTCGTAAGAGGCGACTAAGGGAACTTAAAGGTCGAGGGATGTGCAGCAGCATCTCCTTTAAAACATCATTAACACTTAACAGCAGTTGCCAACCTTGCGTGGAAATTACTAACAAAACCCACTTGAAAGCTGCATTATCTATGACTATTTATTATTTTCAATATATTAGAGATACCTATGAAAATTACAATAATCCAACTGCTCAAAGGTATCAAAAATTTGTCTATATTTTAAAACTATTGATGATACATAAAATAATGTACTATATTTTTTTGGTAATTATTATTACTGACAAAAATGTTCGCAAAATTATATATATCTAACTATTATAGTTAAGTCGCAATAGCAGTTTTTTTGGTTAATTTATTTAATTAAAATATGGATAGAATCAAAATCAATACTTATGAGTAAAATGAAAATCGATTTTAATACTTATCGAACTAAATAGTTTCATCATCAAATTCGAATCGAATTATTCAACATGTGCCCACAGCCAATTTCTATCATCGTACGGCTCGCCATTTGGCAGCCTAAATGGTCGCGTATAATGCGGTTTCAGAAATATTTTCTCCCACGAACACTCAGGTTATGCAATGAGCTCCCTGCTGAGGTTTTCCCAAGAGACTACATGCATGGGGTTCTTGAAAAGCAGGATAAAAAGGTTTCTTCAGGATCGGCAACGTGCACGTAATACCTCTAGTATTGCAGGCGTTCATAGGCTACGGTAACCGCTAATCATCAGGTGACTTGTTTGCCACCTCAGTGGTATAAAAAAAAGAAGAACTCGAATCAATTATAATAAATTACAATTATAATAAATTAATTTCAAATACTCAATATAAGGATCAAATTTATATATATATATATATATATATATATATATATATATATATATATATATATATATATATATATATATATATATATATATATATATATATATATATATATATATATACTGCCGGTCAAAAGTTTGAGACCACTAATAAAAAACTTTTGTTATTTTTGATATATTTTCAAAATATTGATGACAAAACGTAATTTGCACATTCTATTGTTTATAATGATTATCTCAAAGCTTATTCTTTTATATATAAGCCAAAATAGGGCACTAAACAAAACATTGCTTCCAAACATTCCGATGTGAGTCGAGGAAGAGCTTGTCTGATAATAGATTGTTAAAATTTTATTACCGCATTACCGCAACTGACACTTTTTTTTTTATTTTTTATCAACTTTCAATTCAATTGTTCTAAATTCTTAAAATATTTCTAATGTTTATTTAAACTCGGTATTTTTAAGATTATCTACAAATATCCTTAATTAGTTTTATTTCGTGGTTCTTACAGTTAAAACGTTTCTAAAATGGATAAAGTTCGCGAAATTAGTATTGAAACGCAATTTGCTATCGTTGTTCTCCATATTGAAGGCAAATCTGAAAGCGAGATTGCATGTCAACTTAAATTATCGAAGACTTGTGTTCTTCGCACTATTGTACGGTACAAACTAGCCGTAATTAAGATCGTCTGCGCTTCGGGAGACCAAGAGCTACGACTTCTAGTGAAAATAAATTTATTGTGGTAACCAGCAAGCGAAATAGACACCTAACACCTAGCAGCAATGGGCTCTAGCCCATCAAGAGTGGACCGAAGATAAAAAAAAAATGCTATATAGTGATGAATCCAAATTTGAAATATTTGGTTCAAAAAGAAGAATTTTCGTTCGACGTTCCGCTGAAGAAAAGATGATGCCACAGTATGTAGTCCCGAGTGTCAAGCATGGTGGCGGATCTGTTATGGTCTGGGGTCGTTTGTGATTGGAAATCTGGTCCAAATTAAAGAAATTATGAAAAAGGAGCATTATAAAGTAATTTTGGAGAACAATGCTATTCCCTCCGGACTAAAGTTAATCGGCCAAGGATCTATTTTCCAACAACATAATGATCCAAAGCACAGTTCAAAATTATGTAGGGGCTATTGAGAGAAAAAGAAAAAAGTCGGAAAAAGTGTTCAAAAGCATGACATGGCCACTCCAAAGCCCTGAACTTAACCCTATAGAGCTTTTTTGGTAAAAGCTTGACCGAAACGTGCGAGAACAATGTCCTACTTCACAGCAGGCCATGTGGAATGCATTAGAAGAAAGCTAAAGGAATATCTCGCAAGAAATTATTAACAAATTAATTGCGCGCATGCCAAGATTGGTAAAATGGGTCATGAAATGCAAAGGAGGATATTTTGATGAAAAATCTCTTTAAACTATCTTGTGTGTGTTTTCTTTAGAACATTGAATTCGTCTAGACTTCATGTAATTTTTGAATTTTAAATCTTTATAAAACCTGTTTTTCATAAAGTTAAAATATGGTGACTTTTGTTTCCTTATATTTTTTATAGTGGTCTCAAACTTTTTACCGGCAGTGTATATATATATATATATATATATATATATATATATATATATATATAATTTTAGCCATTAACTGTCCACTGCTGAACATAGAACATAGTATCTCAAAAATTTGCCTATAAATTAATATTTAACAAACACTACATAATCACACGTAAAAATAAAATATCATGTAGCACGCATATTTTCTAATCACTAATACATTTTTCTTTGACAAATATCACTATTATCGATCAAATAGCAATAGATAGAATTCATAATAGTGTTTTTAGTCTCTATATCGTTTTATAAAGAAATAAACATTTATTCACGTAATACAAAAGATCTTAAAAATTAATAGTGATAGCAATTTTTGTTATTGAGAGGCGGCTTACAGTTATATATGTACAGTTGAAAACCTACCTAATTACATAAATTATCAGTACTACTAAATTTCATCTTTTAGGAATCCTAAACAAATAAAATGTAGCTTGTGACGACTTTTGAAGAGGGTGATTCAACATGTTGCTTCAAGTACCCAAATGTGATTCGATTTCCGATAGGGTGAATGTGGGTAACGGACATTCAAAATTGGAAAGGGTTTGGGGGTTTTGGGTTAATATATTTTATGGCTGGTTCGTCGTATTCTAATTTGAAACCAGGCAATATAAAAGAGGAAACTGGTTGAATGATCAACTCCTAACGGAAACTGCTGAGTCTAGAGATATGATTTATTTTGCAGAATTTCCTTATAACATTTAAAGTAAAACAAGAGAGTTTTAGATGTTTCCCAGGTATCGAGATTTGAGCAGCTAAACCTGCGAATACTGCGATGTTTGATGTTAGAACAATATTTTAACCATTTACGTTTTTTGAATATTCACCAAAAACTAAATTATTTTTAACAAGTTTTTTTGTTTGCAGGTATAAAGACGAAAATAAGTCCAGAAACGAGGTAAGTTATCACAAAGAATCTGGCTAAGTAGCGCTTGTAACTACTTATATGTGGACAAAATTAGAACAGAAATTTTATTTGGTAGTATAATAACAATATAAGTTTATTGCTGGTAAAAGTTTTCAATCGTTAGAACCATCGGGGCGTTAAATTGTATGGTTATGGCTGAAAATATTGACTTCTTTTGTAACTTTAGATTTTACGTAGTTATCTACTTGTTCGCAAATTATGACTCACTTTAAGAGTAAGTAATGTCTAATGTACCAGATGTTAAGATGCTAAGTATCCAGTCATCTTTTTTAACTATTATGAGTTTCGTTATCGTGTGGTATTATTCTCTGTTGTAAATAAGTTTGTTATATCTATGATACTAAATATAGACGCAAGAAGATAATAAATATACCTTGCAGTCTATATATATAAATATATCTATAAATTATATCTTATATTGAGAAATACCTAAGTAATATTTATCCTTTAGTTTGGTTAACACATTTATTTCTTTTATTCTATCTGATGCTAAAGTTGCACTTGGCTCAAGTCGTAACTAATTTCTTGTTCTTAGTTTTGGTTATTAATTTTATTTACCAGTACCTAGTGCTGAATTTAACGCTTACTAATACTCACTTATTAATAAAACAAAAGATGAGTATATTTATTAATACCCCTTATTATTATTATTAACGCTAATAATAATAATAATAATATAGGGGGTACTAATAACAGCGTTAAATTCTGAACACTGTTCTCCTCCTTGGAATGTCATCTTGAATCATCCGCAGACATTGATTCATTGAAAATTTTGACGTTGTCACTTGACACAGTTAGGGATTTGCTTGTATATGGTCACTACTCGAGAACACTCTTTTCATCGGTTGTCGGTTTGTCATTTTAGTTTGCCATCAGACTAATGGCCGTGTGGTTCTTCTACAGATATCCTTATTTTGAATTCTATAGAACCTAACGATATTCCAAGTATAGCCATCTTTGTAGATTGTTGAACGAATTAGGGCTTCCTTATACATCTATCGTTTTTGTTTCGTCAATCATCACTAGTAACAAGCATTAATTTTCTTTTTTTTGTTATGGGAACGGAACTAAAATATTAAGCATAGGTTTATTATTAAAAAAATTGCTCCTTCATCCCGTGTTCACGTACTTAATCGATTTTGTACTTAAAAGTTGAAAAAGAAAAGAAAAATTATGCACATAATAAAAAAATAACGAGTATGCCAATACATAACGAATACTTCTTGATTAGTCAATGAAGGGTCACAGTTTTGAATATATTTATTTACATACATACATATTCATCACACCTGTCTCCTATTGGGGTAGGTAGAATTAATGAAACGCTAAAAGTTATGATTGAAATGGATTTCTTTCGCTTCATCCACATACTTATTTATTTTATTTTTTGCCGCGTTGCGTATCTGTCATATCTTGGTACGGAATATTGAATGTCGACTCAGACTTGGCCATTTTTCTTAAGGACTGAAGGTAATTTTTCAGTTTGAGAAGTGCTTCTGTAGTGTTGACACATAGCAGGAGCATTCGTCAAATTGGGATCCATAACTGAGAAAATTGCTTTTAGGAAATTTGTATTAAGAACGTTTCGTTCATCAAATCCCATTAAAACTTTTTCCATTAAACATTCTACTTTAGTAAAAATGCTTTCATCTAACATTAAAGTTAATAATGGTATTCATTTCTACTTCATTGTAAAAATGCGTAATATTTTATGTGATTCTTAAAATTAATAAATGTTAATTCATTAATGTAATTCGTTAAGTGCAAACTACCAGAAAAGTGTAATTATAGCTACTAACGATAGTTTTTAATAATAGTTCATGGTTTTACCTGTGCAGTAAGATAAAAAGTATCGTATTGTATTTAAGATATAACTCAAATCCATTTAAGTGTGAGCGAATTTGTAATTTGCAATTTTTCAAATTTATAATATTATTAGGAGTATTAATAAAATTTTAACATCTTTAAATATTTCGTTGTATGCTTATAGTGAATTTTTATTTTATTTCTGTTCATATTTATAGAATTGTAGTTTTAGACGATTGTTAAAAAGATAGTATAAATGTGTGGGTATATATTTTTTGAGCGTCCCTATATGAAACAACAAATAGATAGACGTAGGTTTTGCTTATTCATATTAGTTAATGATTATTTTCATGTTAGTTCTATTTTGATTTTTTCATGATAAAAACTATAATTTTCTAAGGTTTGTTTGTTAAATTCATTAAGTATATATCATACTTATATTTGAAAAAATAATTAATATTTATTTTTATTCTTTGTTAGCAACCTCCGTCATAATTAAAAGATAATGTAAAAGATTTATATATTCAGCTAACCTTATATAGATATAGAACATAGATACGTAACGTATTGATTTAATAGATACTTTCACATGATAGTTATCGTTCTAAGTCAAAAGAAACCAACGACCCCTGTATTATAAATAGCATAGTACAGAAAAATGCAATCTCTCGTTAAAGTTTCCTCATCAGCTTTTTAATTTCATATAATACTGTATTCCCAGAACTCTTGTATAAAAACATGTTTACAAGTAGGTACCTATTACAATGTTTTGCTATTGATCTATTAATAACTTCAACGTTTTATCTAGTCAGATTATATTCTGAATCAATTTGAAAGTTGGAAGTTAGAAAGAAAAACAGCCTTACTGTACTTATACAATTCTATCGTTATATTTATTAATTGTCTTATTGCCTATATTGTATAATGCAAATAAAGTATACTCAATCATTCATTAAAAAATGTTTAACTGGGTCAATACTTCAGTAGTTTTAATTCTTTAAGACACGAAAATTATATATACGAATATAACTTTTTTTTACATATCTATCCAAATTATTATCTGATTTTTTTTCAAATATATTAATGTTAACAAAAGTTTTAATGCCTTGAAAAAAAAATTACTTTGAAATTCAAGTTTATGTGAAAGGGTGATAAACGAGCATACGGTTCGCCTTATGGTAAGTAATTACCACAGCCCGTGAGTACATCAGAAGAGTTACCAATGTGTGTAATAGCGGCACTATATAAGTTGTACAGTGTTTGCTAGTTTATTGAACTCTCCGCTCTTATAAATGTGTAAAGCAAGATGCCCTTAATTGTTTGGTAAAATTATATAAGGACAATGTTTCTTATAAGCATAGATTCTATCGATTGTAAAATAATTATTAAAATTCGCGACGTATTGCATAACACACGAACTCTCATTTAAAGTTGTTTAATTAAATATACTCAGGCGAATATAGCCATAAGCAACATATTTTGGCTTAACTCTTTAAATTCCATTGACCGTATTGAAATTCAGGGTGTATATTTTCATTAAATATTTTGAATGGCGGTAACAATAGAAGGTTATTACCGCCATTCAAAATATTTAATTAATTTATTAACAATGTACCTATTATATATATATATATATATATATATATATATATATATATATATATATATATATATATATATATATATATATATATATATATATATATATATATATATATATGTAAATATTATTGTAATAGTATCGGTTTAGTAAACTCGTTATCCCTATCTTGTGTAAAGCTATGAACCATTGATATTTAGTCTATGACGGTTTTGGATTATTCAAAGTATATGTTGATTTCTAAGAAAAGTTTAAGGACAGTAGGTTTACAAGGTTAATACTCTATTTTCTAAGATTGAAAAATCTGATATGATCTAGAAATAACCAATGGAATATAATCAGCCTTTATTAGAAGTGATGTCTGCCTGAATTTTTGTCAACTTATCACGGGAAAATATCTTTTCGAAATTTATAATTCAGTTTAACTTGAAAACTGGTACATGTTTTATATGTATCGATCGAGCAATGACGAACTAAATTGATAACACATAATTCGTTTCTACGGAAAGATTTAGAGGATTTTTCCGTAAACATGTATGTTTATAATCCTCTAAATGATAAATACTGGTATCAAATAACATCAAGTAATTATTACATTCTGTTTTTATGAATTAAATTAATTTTCAACATCACGCAAGAAGGAAGTCACGGATATTTTTAATATGAATGTGATTTAAATATGAATGTAATGTGAATGTGCAAATAAAAGTTGACCGATTTTTATTATAAAATATACATATTATAAATTAGCTTCATATGAGACCAAATTTTGTCTCTTATTTACAAATTTTCTCATGTAAAGATTTTTAAGACAATTTTTTCGTACTTTTTTAAATTCTTGCCAATTACAAACAAAATGAAAAAATATAATAAATAGAATAAAAAAAAAAAGAATTACCCAAATAGGTATCGCCGTTCGAAAATGATGCGTTTACATGAATTTAGCAATTGGATTTTATTTATTATTACTAGATATTGTATGCGCGGATTTTTAAGCAATGCAATAAATAATTTTGAGATGACGTATTAAAATAAAATTACACAAGATTTTAAGTTAGATTTTTAAGGAACACAATGTATAAACTGCATCCAAATTGGTGCAGGAGTATTAGCGTGATGCTACAAATGAACAAATATACAGACACGACGTCTTGGATTGTATTATTTCCATTATTATGATTCCTGATATAATTTTTTTTTCAAATTTTTCTTATATATATATATATATATATATATATATATATATATATATATATATATATATATATATATATGTATACGTATAAGTATATCTATAGATATCATCGAGTTAAAATTGTATTGTATGTAATATTTTTACAATTCATGGTAAAATTCTTATATGCCGAATATTTTTTTATATCAATCATTTTAAAATGCTTTTAAAATGCTAAGAGATAACAAATAGATTCATATTCATAATATTAGTAAAAATTTATTTTAAAAATTGGTAATATTTTATAAATAGATTATTTTATATGTAACTTACAAGTGCAATAAAGAATATATAATTAGTAATAATAATAAAAATTGGTAATAATATAAT